AAAGAAAGAAAGAAAGAAAGAAAGAAAGAAAGAAAGAAAGAAAGAAATAGATAAGAGTAATACTAAAATGGGAAACACCGATGGGAGAATGAAGTCACGGAAGGACTTAAAATCAAAAGATTGGAAATGTGTTGAAAAAGTAGACCCGGACAAAGTAAAATATTTAGAAGTTTGGGTGAACAAGTTCGGGTTCGATGGGGAATTGAATACAGAAAAGTTGGCAAAGTTAAGTGAGAAAATAATAGAGGAAAGTGACAAGAAGAAGGAACGATGGGGGTTAAATGATGTAAAGTACTGGATGGATATGGCACAGAGACGTGAGGATGGAGAAAGAAAGGCTAGAGAGAAACGACAGGAGAGAAAAGTGTTAATAGGAAAAAAGGAAGTGAGGTATGAAAAGGCTGAGGATGATGAAACTCCCATAAGGAGATCAAGGCAGGCGCAGCCGCCTGGACAAATAGGAAGCAGAGGCAGAGGCAGAGGCCGAGGCCGAGGCCGAGGGCGAGGGCGGCCTTGGACCAATTCAGGAGAGGATAGATGTTGGGCCTGTGGACAGTCAGGACATTTTGCCAGGGAGTGCCCAAATTAGAAGGAGAGAGACAATATTGTTCCGTATGTGGATGCCACCACCTATCTCCCTTTCTTAAGGTAAACATGATAAATGGTTAACAAACAATGGGTACACAAGTCCAGATGGAAAGCTAATTCTACCACAAAAATCTTTTTCGCGGGGCTTCAATTTTGAGTCATGGGATAACCTATGACTCAACAGGAGGGATGGTAGCCCAGGTAGCCCATGGCTTTAGCCCATGGCTTTAACTTATTCATTAAAAAAAAATTTTTTTGTAGAGCTTGACACCTAAAAGGGGATTGGTTCTTGATTAAGAGCATTAAGAAAAATCAGTTACTGCTAACAACACCTACTGCAGTAAAAATAGTTGAAAGTATGTGGGTCCATTTGACACATGGCAAAAATGTTATTTCAGCACAGGATTCCAAATAAGAGGTTTCAGAGGCTTATAGTCTGGTAATAGAGTTAACTCATCGTCAACTAGAGGTGGGTCGACTCGAAAGCCAGTGAAGAACCTAGAGTTTTCTCAGGAAAAGCGAAGTCTCAAATAGGGGAAGAACTGAGCTGAAATAACTATGTGGCCGTATGGAAACACTGGCCTAGCTAGGCTTTCCTGAAAAGAGAGAATGGTAATTACGACCCTAGTTGTGATTCCTGTATAGGACTAACAGGTAATGGTCTGCATATAGGGGAACTAACAGACTACACTTGCATCACGGTGGTCCAATTATCTCAAAGATTCATATCCGTCAGAAAGGCTGACACATGGTGGTGCACGGACAAAGCCGAAGGCATCATGGTCTGCGAGCTCCAGAAGTACGTCAAGCACGAGCAGGACGACCTCAGCTGGAAGTTCCAGCTCTTCACCGACACCATCTTGCACGAGTACAAGCCCTTCGAGAGGCAGCAGTTTGAGAGCGTGGAGTGGTACAACAACCGGAACCAGGACAACTACGTGTCCTGGAGCGACTCAGAGGACGAGGACGAGGAGGTAGAGGCCAAGGAGAGGCCCAAGACCAACTTCCCCTCGCCCTTCACCAACATCCTGTGCGGCGTATTTGGACAGCACCTTCATTCCAAGCAATACTGCTGGGGATGGTAGTCTGACAAAAGCTATTGATGGAATGTCAATAGCAGTGTTTTCTGCTATTCTAACAATGTGTGGATGCTGTTGCATCCCATGTCTGCGAGCACTCATTAACAGGTTGATCATCACTGCGTTGAGCCCTCAATCATCTGCCCCGCCAGCTGAAATGTATCCACTGATGGGAAACGGCGTGGACGACGATGATGGTGGCAGTGACGATGATGAACCTCACCTTGCAGACCTGTTTCCTGACTATGGAGATTATGAAAAACACTACCTCTAGTGAAAATGTATTGCTATGGCTGATATGACCTCCTAGCTGAAAGTCGATTTATATGGCTAGCTGAGTGATGTGAGACTGCATAAGGAATACATGATAAACCGGAGGGAAATGTTAGAATAATTGTACAATAGTTATCATGCATTCTCTGTTGTGTGCTTGTGTGATAGCAAGAAATTACTATCATAAGTACAAGTTGGGTTGCAGATATGAGAAGCTGACCCAGCAGTGACCCTTGTGGCTGCTGACCACAGTAGTGATCCTTGTGACCACACACCTTTTTGGCAGCGTGAAACAAAGAAACAACTGCACTTTGTTTTACTGGCAAACCAGTTGT